TATATATATATATATAAAAGGCCCTTAACTACTTTTCTAAGGCATGCATATCCTATGCCTTCAAGCAACATACTCTTTAACAATGTATCAAAAGACATTCTGGTTATTGTTATTAGGTTGAAGGAGGAAAAGGTGAATTTTGGAACCAAAACGTCAGAGAATGCTGTTACTACTCTTGGAACAATAAGAAAGAAGCCACAATCTATCAGTCCTGAAAAGACCAAGCATTGGTGGAGCCGAGTTTTTGTGAGTCACCGTGTCTGCATGAAGCCTCACTTTGCAGCAGCCAACACTGCTACTGAGGAGAGAAGCTGTGTTTGCTGTTGGCAAGAACCCAGCAGCTGGCAGGCCCTCACACACACTCATCCCACTGCTGCTCCTGTGAACTGCCCCCTTCCCAGACCTATGGTGTGAAGCGCTGCAGCAGCACTAGCAGAGCGCTACAGACACCTCTCTTCTGGAGCACCACCAGTTCCACTTCCTTTCTTGTCTGCAGTGGAGTTTCCCAGTAAGCAGCCACGTGTGTTGCTTCTCAAGCTGCTTTTAAAGAAACAACCAACCAAACCCCAACAAAGCCCATGACACGTGGTTCCTGTAGCTGCTCTGTGACAGGTACAGCACCTCAGTCGCCCAGCAAAGTGGTGCAGATTCAGCTGCAGTTGCATTTCTTTTATTACACAAAGTCGTCATCTCGTAAGATGACTTCTGTCTCTCCATATTTCTGATCCAATAGTGGATCTCCAAGCCCTGTCAGCTGAACAAAGTCTATATTGTGAAAAATAGTTCTTTGTGGTTTTACATCTTTCTAAACAATTCCACTAGCAACACAGTTCTCTCATAGGACAGAAATGCAGACATCCCAATTGATAGCTATTTTCCCACACTACCTACCCAGCTGTAAGGCAGAGGCTGGGACAAAGATTAGAAGAGTAGCTAATTTCAGAAGTTTAAATATATTCAGTTCCAATGAACGTCTTATATTACAGCCAGCAGTATGGCAACCAGGTAATGTCTGTCTACTGTTTGCCCTTCCGAGGTAACAGCTCTTTCCTGTCACAAGTAGTTCTCTCCACAATGGTTTACAGCACAGACAGCGCTTCTTCCAGTACAGAAGAAAGGCTGAATCACAGATATACAGCAACTGACAGGAGATAAGAAAGATGTATGGAACACTGAGAATTTGAGTCTGAAGTCAAGGATGGTGGGAGACCTTTAGTCCAAAAGGTTGGTTAACATTCTTGTTCTTCAAATGGCGGGGGGGGAAGCCACCCTAAAAAATCCTGCAAGCTAGTCAATACATTTATTACATTAGCTGCAAATCTACCCCTTAATCTTTTCAAATCAGTTCTTTAAAAAGTCTAAACTTGCACAATACAAAAAGCAAGAAAATGAATTTTTTTTTTTACCTTGCAGTCCATTCTAAGAATATGCTGTGCAATAATCTTTGGATTATTGTTGGTGAAAAGCTCCTTAACTCTTCTTAACATTGACGTTTCCAATGGCTTGTTTTCAGGGGGAAGTAGTTTGGATTCAAAATCATTCGGTTTAAAACTAGACACCGTCTCAAAAACAGGTGCAGAAAAGATGCTGTCTTCTTCAATCATCTCAGCTGAAGCTTCTAAAGGATCTGCAGAGTTCATTGTAGGGTCATCTTCCAGGATCAAATAGTTTGTTTCAGAGTTCCTGAATGAGTGTGTTGCCCTCTCCTTTCGTATCAGATGTTCCATATAGCTGTTTTTCTGACATAAATGCTGTTTAGTTGCTGCGGGATCTGTGGCAGGGCTTAGTTCACAATAGTGTCCTTCTGAACTGTGGGAAGCCAAAGGAGAATCTGGGGGCTTCATCAGGGGTGCTTTGCTGGGTTTAGGTGGAGGCTTCGGACAGAGCTGACTGTCTGATCCTCTAAGAGCTTCCCCTACTTGTGACTCAGAGGTGACTTTATGAACAACTGTGAGGCTTAGAGAAGGTTCACTGCCTGTTCTAAAAGCAGGAGAGCTTGGACAGGAGTCTGCATCCACTTCAGGTAATCGAGATGGCTGTCTTGAACCTGCAGGGGAAAATGGTATTGTAGAAGGCCAAAGCATATACAACTCCTGATGCCTTTCCCAGGGTTCATCTCTTAATGCTATTTCCTGAGGAAAATACTGTCAGATCTATGTCAATTCTTCCCTGACAAAAAACATATATGAAGTTATGTTTTGAGGAATGAGCTAGCCAGCACATTCCATTCACTTGTTGATCCTCCCAAATCCCAAATACACAGAACAGCTGCACCATAATATTATTCTGTGGTAATGCTGACAATAATTGCAGTCCCTGCTGCATACATAGGCTATACAGTCAGAGTTGGATAGTATCCATGGCTTGGAATAGGAGGTTGCTTTGTAACCTGATCTAGGCTATAAAAACAGAAACTTCCAGCCACACCACATAAAAGATGAGTCATTTCTGAGAATGACAAGTTTGAGATGAAAGAAAAGTTTCCCAAAGTCAAGCCTGAACCTGCAATAAGGTATGGAAGGAATGAATTTCAGGCATGCTAATCTTTTTGCTAAACAGTAGCTGATTTGAAGAGCTGGAAAAACACATCCATATACTTCTGTGTATTTATGCCTCATCCTGTACTCACTGCATATGCAAACCTCAGCATCCAATACAGGACTGAACCCTGTATCAGACATTCCCCATCTGCAGTTCTCAGTGCATTTGCTGGTATCTACAGCAAAGTGGCCAGCTGCATCATGTGGGCTTTACTGCTTGTTTCCAGCTGGCTCCCAATTTATGCAGACAACAAAATCTGCAAATCACAGCCTGTCACCACTCATAAGCAGTATGATACCAGAACCTGCTTGGAGGACCTCATGACAAAATGCACAGCAGAACTCTTCAGATTAACTGTTATAGCACCAAAAGGAAAGTTTTTGCAGCCATGGATTGGAATAAGATAATCAATTCAACTACAGATTGTTTTATGAATGTCTGTCCATCCCACTGTTAAACACAGGAGCTCACCCTTTCTATCAAAATACAGTTTCACTATACAATTCCTTAATATTATCTTTGTCTTGAGAAGTCTTTCTACAATAGACAGTATAAATTTTTACAGCTACCATATTCAAAATGACTAGCAGCCTTTGGAAGTCAATCACTAGAATCTGTCCACATGGGAATAGACGCACCGTTCCAAGCTTCCTTACGCAGTATATTAGTAAGGAAACAATTGCTGAAACCTCTGAAGAATCTGAGAAGAAGCAGCCACGATCAACAACTGATCAAGTGTTGGTACACCTTGTATCATGGGAGGGAGACAATGACAATGGCCGTGGAACCAGACAGCAGCAAAAGGAATGAAAAGCAAAAGGGATGGAGAGGGAGAGAGAGCTTGAGAGAGACAGGAAGACAGAACTGAGTACAAAAGCCGTGGTAGTGCTTTTCTCCTGGTGAGGAACACTACCACATCTGCATACTTTACCCTGAGAAAAAGCAGTTACCAGGAATTCCATGAAACACCGCTTCTACTTACTAGACTTCTGTCAGAATTACATGAGTGAAACAAGTCAGTTCTTGTAAAGCATAAGCGAGGAAAGGTAATACTGTCAAAAAGGACATTAATGCCAACTGCAGCGGTCATTTTTTTTTTGGTGTGGAAGCCTGCTGAGTTGTGTGCTAAGGCACTCAACCAGCTGGTGCATTGTAAGTAAAAAACCTGTTCCAATGACTTAAAGAGCAAACAGCATGCTAACACAGCTTATGTTGGCTGTTATGTATAACTGTATATACAGTACTCGGAACACTCAACAGTCTCACTTTGGTCTGAAGTGTAACAAACCACCTGGGCACACACAGATTCTAAGTGTGAAACATTTGATTACGAAACATACCTATTAGCAGATAGCTCTCTGACTGGTGAGCCTTTAGAGGGAATCTTTTCTCCAGAACATGATCCAAACTAGCTGGCTGGCTACCACTTTTTTCTTTGTTTCTAAGGTAAACAAAAATGCAAACAAAAACATGTCAATATATCCAACACTCTTAACATACATACCTAATTGTCAGAATATATCATAACCACTGCAAGAATCATTAGCTTTCCACTTGGGCAGCTTACAAGAATAAAAGGTACTTCACGCTGCTGTGGTAGCAATGAAATGGTCTGTAATATGTGTGACCCTGTAACATTCATAAGGGTGTTTCTTTGAATGTTGAGACTTTTTAATGGAACATTTGATTTGGATACTGAAATGAGCATCCATTATCCCACACTTGGTATTTTTATTGCAATATGGAAAAAAAAAGTCAAATATGGAAAGAAAGGCTTCTCTGGAGCAGCAGCAATATTTTATTTTAATCCTTTATCTTATACTAGTCAAGATTTGCCAAGTACTGAAGAACAAGGTGCACCGCTGTTCTCCTTCCAGAGTCTCCATTTGCTCTTGCTCTGTGGATTTGCTGGTTTTTAGCAAACGATTTTTTAGGGTCTAAAAAATCATTTGCTGAAAATCAGCAAGCCGTCACGCTTAGCATTCCATCTAAAATCAGAGTGAAAATTCACATCACCTACAGTGGGAGCTGATAGAGTTACCTCATTTCCCTCCATAAGGACAGCAAAATTAAAGTACCTCAAAAGATTTCCTCTGGGTATGCTCTGCTCTGGGGATTGCATGCTGGATATACCAAGACTCAGCCTTTTTGCAGTTTCTGTTTTTCCTTCAGGGATACTTGGCTCTTTTTGTCGGACTGGAGTTACACCATACTTTTCTTCTAGACACCTGAGAGGCACAGTCCTGTTGATAGGCTGAAAAATAATTGCTCCGCTCTGCTTTGATATTGGTGTGCGATTCCCAACATAGTATCTAACTAAGCCGGGGATACTGTCGAAACTTTCAAGTTCAAACTGATACTGAACACGGCAGTAGGCTTCACTGAGTCTTAGAACTGTTCTGTTGATTTTAAAATGCTGAGAGGTATTTTTCCACTGACAGGTAAGAACAAAGTTCCCAGGACTGGAGAGAGAATCCCTAATCAGAAAATCTCCATCTCTCTGAACTAGGCCTTCTGCCACCTTTGAGGAAAAAGAATTATACAAAAAAAATATTTTCATAATCAGAAAACTAGTAGTCAAACAACACATCACAACAAAACATTCTTAAACATAGCACTTAATATACACACACATATATATACACACACATATATTTCTTCTAGTTTGTTAATAGAAAATAAGGCATGAAGGGAAAGCAATGACTCAGGATTTTAGAGTTCAAAGCATCTGAATAGACAGTCACACTGAAGTTTAGAAGGCGTTACTACAGGACCCCAGAAATTGTCCTTTCATTATTATCTTAAGTGACAGAAGTTTTCATTTTTTATTCTTTGTGAATACTGCATAGTATTAGGAAGAGTCGGATAAATCCTGTTTTTCTGTTTTGAGTTAGTCCTCTTACGTGAGAAACTACGCATCTACCAGTTAAACTTAAGTGCAGTGCATGTGGCTGCTGTGCCTGCTGCCCTGACTTAGGTGAAGGGGAGCGGGCAGCTCGTAGCTCTGGTGAGAGCCGGGTGTGCACAGGAGGGAGGCCCGCAGGGGGAGCTCCAGGTGCTCTGGGAACCTAAGCTCCAATCCAAGGACAGCTTTAACATATTTTTAACTACATATGTAAGGATCAAAATTAAGTTATTGCATAGATTTTGTTGTGGGTTTTTTTCTGCTCCTCAAATTCCAAGTGTAAGAAAGAAAATAAACAAGAACATTTTAAGTTTGGTTAAGAATACCAAACTAAATTAATGTCAGTGTGTCTGAACAATATGTGGGGATAGCATATAAAGCTTAAATTCCATTTCCACCTTTATTCAGTGCACACAAATCCTGAAATATCTATAATTTTCCACCAGCGTCTGCCCTGAATCCTTCCTCAGCCTCATTTTATGCCAAACTGTGATAAACACCACAGCTTTCACATGAATATGCTTCTACTAAATTAATGCAGACACCAGAGATGTGCGTAGTATTTTAGTGTAATTCTGCTTGTCTATAAAAGCTCAAAGCAGATTTGGCAATGCAAAGACCACGTACCTGCCGAGGAATACGTCCATGGTACCAAGCATGGCTACGCAAGTCTTCACTACTTAGCTGCAGTTCTTCCTCTAACTCCTTCTTCAGTTTTTCTGGGCTGTTGTCCATATCGTGCCTCTCCCTAGAAAACTGCAATAAAAGATTAAAAGCTTCAACTGTGCCAAGTTTAGCGATTAACATTTTACCTGGGTTATAACTTCCATCACATGATCCGCACTAGCCACTGGAATGCAGGTGCTGCTTTTAGCAGGCTGGCTTGGCTTCGCTCTCTAGGTTGCATTTGCAAAATCCAGCATTCTCAGGGAGATAACACGTGATTGTTATACACTGCTTGGAACAGAGCAAAGTGTTCTGTCTGTACACCAAGCTAATAATGACACACCTACAAAGTCCCTTCTCTTACTTCCTCTTCCCAGTAAGAATTGTAACTACACCCCAAAAAATGGAGCTGGACCCAAATGCCCTGCTCCAATATTCTTCCTCCTGTTTAAACTTCCATTTTAAATTCAGATTCTTTCCCCCTTATCCCCTTTGAACCCATTCAACTAAGAACATTCCAAATGCCTCAAGACATGCTAACCTGGACATACATAGTTGTTCAATATTTCTGTTGCACTAAAAAACAGTTTGCCAAAGTAAATTTTCACCCTTAAAGGGCTTACTTCTAATAGTCATTAGATCTACATGTCTAAGATGTTCCCTTCTTAAGGGAAAAAAGCTCTTGTTGCCCCTTAGCACAAAAAGCATGAGATCTGCATGGAGATATCTACACAACTACTGTAAGATCTTCTAGAAAATTTCCATCTATAGCTTCTTGGAGTATAGCTTAGAATCATAGAATCATTATGGTTGGAAGAGACCTCAAAGATCATCAAGTCCAACCGTATACCTGATGCCACCATGCCCACTAAACCATGTCTTGAAGTGCCTCATCTAAACATTTTTTGAACACCTCCAGGGATGGTGACTCCACCACCTCCCTGGGGAGCCCGTTCCAACGTTTAACAACTCTAACAGTGAAGAAGTTCTTTCTAATGTCGAGCCTGAACCAGCTTCCATGCTGGACCACTCTGGTTCATTAGTCCTTCCCGTGGATGTAGCATTGCTAAAAAAGTAAGGTGCAGTATCCTCTCTAGAGATTTGTGATGTACTCTTTCACAAGCACTCAGTGGAGGGAAGTTCTTTGGACTTCCTTACATACTCCAAGGGCTGGGGACTCCAGCCCATCTTTACTGCTGCTTAAGTGTTTCAAAAGCCTAAGATACCCAAAAGAAACAGGTTCATTGCAGGGAACATGTTCTACATTGATCAAAGAATCAGACTATACCCTCTCTTAAATAAAGTACATTTTTAAAAAGAGAGAGGGGCCGCCAGCTGGAGAGGAGGCTAAAATGCAACATTTTGCCCCAGTGCATTATGGATATTTTTTTTTCTTAGCTCTGGGTATGAGCCAAAGCTCACAGGTTCCCTTCACTGACACGCTGACGTAAATATGCAACACATGCATTATTTAAAAAAGGACAGGGAATGTTTGCCCACCAATCCTATTTTTTCCATGAACACTGCTCTCTATAGCATTTTCTTCTTCATAGTGACTCCTGACAGCACCTAACCATGGGAGTAGGTGGCATACGTTTAGCACTTCTTTCAACAACCCTCCCTGCAATTTCAAGCAGACTGAATTACAACAGATTACTAGACAGCAGATTTTTGGTGGAATAATGCCAGAAGAGGCATCCTGTTGCCAAGACTATTTAAACATGCTGGGAGCCCAGAGAAATTCTGAGATAAATCCTCCTCTTCTCTCTGCTTTTCTCAGAGAAACTAGGTCTTCTCTTAGATAAACACAAATAAGCATAGTAGCTTATACAGGAAGGCAAAAGATAAAAACAACATGGTAAAGAATCACATTTCACCTCAGTTTTACTTCTGTGAACCACAACAGGTTGGTATTTATTCATACAAATGTGGTTCAAAATGGACCATCATTTTCAACAAGGAGTAAATCCTTTGTGCTTTTGTACAGTCAAGACCTTTCACCAACTCCTCCCAAGCTTTATAAGAAGAAAAGTCTGTGCAGGAAGGAATTATGCCACAAAAAAAAGACCTTCACTGCAAGGGCTCTTTCATAAAACCATGTACAATGTGAAGAGATTAAGTTACTGAGTGTAGAAAGAGTCATAGCAAAGGCTTGATGAGGACTCAAGTCCAAAAGCATATCCAAGTATCAAAACATAGTCAAGTAATGCCAAAAATCCCCCCTCCACTCCAAACCTCTGTGACCTACCAGACCAACATAGCTAAAGGACTAGTGGCACATGCCTGCCACCTTTATTTCCCAACTCAAATGGCTGGGTACCCATTTAAAGCTGACTGGCATCAATTCCAGAATTAACAGTTAGCCGTTTCACTGCCACATCTTACAGAATGATAGTAAGTATTATAGCATTTACATAAGCTGAAGGTAAAGTGAAGAGCACACAAACTGAAAGGAGCCTTTTCAAGAGCACCCTTCCCCTGACCGCACAAGGAAGCTGCTGCAGAACTTTTAAAGTACCCCCTCCAACCTAAACCACAGCATGTAATGGTATACACCTCTCTTCCATTCATAGCTGTGCATTTTGCCGATCTTCTGAAAGGAACTACTACTTTAATATGAATTGTATTTAAGTTTTTGAAAGATGCTTTTGACTGAATAAAGATCTTAAAAAACCCAAAGCTACTGTACAATTGTTACCATCATTCCAAAAGCATCTCACTGTATCTCAGTGGTAGGCAAAGCTATTGTAAATGGAACAGACTATAGCATACAAATGCAATAAGGAAATTTCCGTATGAGAGCTAGATTTTTAGCCAGCAAAAAGAGCTATAGGTCTTTGTGTATGGACTAATTTCATCCATTGTACTGACACAAATTATCTTAAAAACCAGGATGATCAAATTACAAATACACACGAATTACAAATACGGCAGAGAAACCTAGAATTTCTTCTGGTGGTGAAATGGATTTTTCACTACTTGAATGAACATAATGAGACACACATTGTGTTTGAATTACATCTAGCAACACAACAAGAAAAACATTCAAGGAATCCAAACGAACTAAATCGTTAACATTCATGATTATTGGTTTGTTAAAAATCCTCTCCACCATGGTATACCACACTGAGCATACTCTGATTGCCAGAGGTCAGACGTCTCCTGAGATGAAGCAAACATGCTTAAATAACCCTTATGCAACCCTGAATCCAGTGAAAGAACTCCTGTGGCTAGCGCAAATCCCAAAATACACAGGGAGGGAAACTGCCTAGGTAAGCAAGTTTAGTAACGGCATGTCTTCCTAGACAGTTTTTTGTTGGCCGAGACTGATTTGTTTTACAACCTACGTCCATTGAAGGGGAAGTGTGAGCGATGAACTGCCGGTCTGTAATCATACCGGCTTATGACTTTCTACACTAAACACCTACACCCGAGGCCTCTGGTACTGCAAGAATCTCCGCATTCACTGAATTTCACATTATGTAAGTAAGGGCTCAAAAAATCACTCCAGGCACAGCCTGCACCAGTCAGTCTGTAAGTAAGGAA